ACCAAGGACACCGATGTTCCGCAGAACTAAGCAAGTCTAAATATAAACCTCGCTTGTATCTTATCTGCGTTCTGTTCAACAGGTGTATTTATGGAGCTAGGAGTGCTTCTTTATAAGGAACCCTCCACGTCAGCACTATCCACGTCCCTGCAGCAGGCGGGAGGAGAAGTGGGGCCTTTACAGATGTGACATTCAGCCCCCGCAGCCCCGTCCCTCACCCGGCAGTGGGTGACAGATGGCACAGGCCACCAGCCCGCCTGGCGGGTGAGAGAACACCTCACCCATGGCACCAGCCATCGTGGGAGGCTTCTTGCCCAAGCGAGTTGGAGGAGTGGGAGCACTGATAAAGCAGGAGGTGGTGTGTGTGTGTTGCAGTTGGGCATTGAGCAATGGAAGCAGCACCTACGCGAGGCGGGCATCCAGCCTGCAGCAGCTGGGACAGAAAGGCCTGGAGCAAAGGAGAGTGCAGGCTTCTGGGGCACAAACCCTTAGGAAAAGGCACAGACTTTTCACAGAATCCCAGAGTCATCCGGGTTGGAAAAGCCCTTGAAGCTCCTCCAGCCCAACCATGAACCTCCCCCTGACCCTTCCCAACTCCCCCAGATCCCTCAGCGCTGGCTCAGCCCAACTCTTCAACCCCTCCAGGGATCCCGGGGACTCCCCCCTGCCCTGGGCAGCCCATTCCAACGCCCAACAGCCCCTTCTGCACAGAAATCCTTCCTCAGAGCCAGCCTGACCCTGCCCTGGGCAGCTTGAGGCCATTCCCTCGGGGCCTGGCGCTGGGGCCTTGGCTCCAGAGACTCATCCCCCCTCTCTGCCCCCTCCTGGCAGGGAGTTGCCGAGGGCCAGGAGGTCTCCCCTCAGCCTCCTCTTCTCCAGACTGAACCCCCCCAGTTCCCCCAGCCGCTCCCCAGCAGACCTGTGCTCCAGACCCTGCCCCAGCTCCGTTGCCCTTCTCTGACCATGCTCAAGTAAGTAATTTCAAGAGACTAGAAAGGCACAGTGTGTCAAGAACACTCTTTTCAACCTAACTCACCTCATCCTCCACACCAGTGCTTCCACCAAAAATCTCTAAGGTCTATAAATACACACAGGACTTAGGAGAGTCACTCACCGGTGTTGAACTGACCAGGAAAAAAGAAAAAAAAAATAAAAAATCACTGCTCAGAAGTCACATCAGCAGGTCCCAAGGCCCTGGGCAGACAGCACGTATTCCTGGCAGTGAGAAAACTACTTTTAGATATACAGATAAAGGTCTCAGGTCTTGTTTTTCACCACTTTTACACCCTGTTTCCATTTATTAGTAGCAAAAATTCACTTACATCTGAGGTTTCACACCAATACTGCTGTTAAACACCACAGATAAGAAAACTCTACTTGAGTCGCAGCTGATTCAGCAAACACTTAAAGTGAAGGTGGAAGGAGGCAGGAGCAGCACCAGGGAACAGCCTGGTCCCACCTCAGAGCTGGGGCGGGGATTAAGAGGGGACCCATTCCTCAGCCATCACTTCTGCTTCTTCAGGCCATTGCTGAGAAGTGCCATTTTAAAGCCTTCAAGAGTCTGACCTTCCTTTTCAACCTGGACTTTTGCTCCTCTTGTTATTTATGCTCCTCACATCCCAGTTTAACTGTGTGTGTGTGTGTGTGTCCCCTCCCAGCCCCAGGGGCACAAGCTGTCCTCACAGGCTGCTAGTTGAACGGGTCTTGTTGAAAAAAAAAAAAGGTACTTCTCCATATAGAATAGTTCAACTGGAAAGGACCTACAACAATCAGGTGAAAACTCCACTTTTATCTGGTTCTTCAGTTGTCCTCCTCCACGGTGGGTACAACTTCAGAGAGAAAATGTAACACAAACAGCCCAAATGAGAGGGATGCTTCCCACAATCGCTGCGTTAACCCTCAGCAGCAAGTTGTAGGTCAATATATTTATTTTAAGCAGCGGTTCCATTCGCATTTCTCTCATTTGGGGGTTATATTTTAATCCCCACCTCTGCAGAACTGTTCTAAATTAACACCACTGCCCCTTATCCCCACCGCAGGGTGTTGCCTGATAGGAGGGGGTGCCCACGTGCAGGGATGAGCACCCCCCATGTTTGCCATCGCATTGGAGGGTAACTGGGAAACTGAAATACAGAAGCTGCCACCTTTGGGTCTCTCTAAATACGCCATCATGTGAGGGAGAAGAAAACCATCAACAGAAACCAGATGCTCCACGCCTGCCCTCCGTGGGCTCGAGCTGCCTGCTGTCGCAACAACTTTCACCCGCCGCCCGAAAACACAGCGGCTGTTCTGCCCCCCTGATCTTTCTGCCTGGGTGATGCACGGTGAGTGTGAGCCGTTTCACACGAGTTATGCAAACCCCGGAGCATAGCGCTGCAGTGCTCCACTGCCACCTCTTACCCAAGAGGATCCCCAAAGGGGGAACCACCCCCTTGTAGCTAGAGTCGGTGGCGAGCAGAGCTGCTTGTGCAGGAGCTGCAGCAGACGGTGTCCGGACCACAGGTCCCTGGGCAGCGAGAAGGAACTGTGACAGACAGCTCTGCTGCACCCAGAGCTGGGAGAGGTCAGTCCTGCGGGATGGGACAAGCCCTTCTGCAGCACCTAGACATGTCCCCACCAACATGACAGTATTAGCTCAGGGCCACTTGCATTTATTCACTTGGCACCTGTGCCATATTCAAATACAGAAGGGCACCACACAAACCCACTGCCCGCAAGGTGCTTCCAAAACAGGACACCCAGAGAATCCCAGAATCATCCAGGTTGGAAAAGCCCTTGAAGCTCCTCCAGCCCAACCATGACCCTCCCCCTGACCCTTCCCAACTCCCCCAGATCCCTCAGCGCTGGCTCAGCCCGACTCTTCAACCCCCCCAGGGATCCCGGGGACTCCCCCCTGCCCTGGGCAGCCCATTCCAACGCCCAACAGCCCCTTCTGCACAGAAATCCTTCCTCAGAGCCAGCCTGACCCTGCCCTGGGCAGCTTGAGGCCATTCCCTCGGGGCCTGGCGCTGGGGCCTTGGCTCCAGAGACTCATCCCCCCTCTCTGCCCCCTCCTGGCAGGGAGTTGCCGAGGGCCAGGAGGTCTCCCCTCAGCCTCCTCTTCTCCAGACTGAACCCCCCCAGTTCCCCCAGCCGCTCCCCAGCAGACCTGTGCTCCAGACCCTGCCCCAGCCCCGTTGCCCTTCTCTGGCCACGCTCGAGTCATTCAATGGCCTTTTTGGGGTGAGGGGCCCAGAACTGAACCCCCTCAGCGAGGGGCGGCCTCCCCAGTGCCGAGCCCAGGGCTCAGATCCCTTCCCTGTCCCTGCTGGCCATGCCAGGACTGGTACAAGCCAGGATGCCGTTGCCCTCCTTGGCCCCCTGGGCACACTGGCTCCTGTTCAGCTGGCTGGCAATCAACCCCCCATACACGACACCTCCTTCCACAGAAGTGGGATTTAATTCCTCCCATGTGACGTGGCTTTAGGAAAGTCCCTTGTAGCAGCATCCAAAGCCCACCCACCAAACAGCCCCCACGCCTACTGCAGCCACGTGTCTTTTCTCCAGCCGCAGCACCAGCTGATCACCCTCACTTGGGGCCATAACTGGACCGAGGAGGTTCACGCCAGGGTGATCAGACCTTACCCCGTACCCCAGATGCACGTCCCCCTTCCTCTCACAGCTGATGTGCTGCCGTGGGCTCACACTCCCTCGCACAAGCAGAGGAAGTCGTACCACAGCTCAGCCAACAACTTCCTCCCGTCACCTCCACGCTCAGACATCGTATGGGAGAGACCAACCCTCACAACCGCCTTCAACCCTGATTAATCCTCTCCCGGTGACTGGACACTTCACAAGCCACAGGAAGTTTGGGCCAGACTGTCTTCGCTTTGGTTCAGTGGCAACAGGTTAAAAATTATTCCTGAGTGCACCTCTAGCCACAGAGGCAGGCAGCTGCTTCTTCACAGTTAGCTATTAAATGGAAAAAGAGGCTAGATAAGGCAGAATAACTGGATGAAGTGCATTGGGATTCATGAAACAGCTAGTGAGACTAACTGACCCGAGGCAAATTCTTGCCTGATGAAAAACCATATTTTGTGCTTCGTGCCTTTGTTACTCAAAATCCCGTCGCAAGATCTTACACCTGATCTGTTTACAGACAAGCAGGATCTCAGGCTGACATCTGCCAACGCTCCTCTTCCTGCTCCTCAGGGAGGGGGACGTGATGCCAGAGGGACAGGGAGTCCTGTCCAAGCCATGCAATGCCAACACGTGGCTCCCAGATTTCCCCAATCTCAGCCTGACACTTTTTTTTTGCCTTATCTCCTAATTAAGCACCCTTTCACAAGGCCCATCCAAAAGCCACAGTGCAGCCAACAGCTACCAACCCAATTTGGTTTGACACCGTTTTAACCAGCTGCTTTGGAAACAGCAGAAGAGGTTTTATTCAAATGAGTAATTACAGCTTTAACTTCCTCCCCCAAAGCAGACAGGTTAAATATTCTTCCCTACCCACACAGAGGCACTCGGAGCACTAACCCAAGGCAGCCTGGTTTGCCCTCGGTCCCCAGCAGACAGAGGAAGCCCCGGGAGGGTCCATAGACCAGAGAGGGACAGTGAGCAGATGTCTGTCTCCCTTTGGGAGACACACATTGCCCCGAGATGGCCGGTGCTTCTTTAACAGAGTCCTCTGAGGAAGATGAGTCACTGCCCAGCTTATGTGGGAGGAGAGCACACCACAAAACGCTGCAAAGCCAGGGCTGGCTTCTTGTGAAAACCAGTTTCTGGAGAAACTTTTAATGCTGAAGGCTCCAGTCCTAGGCTCAAATAGGAAGAAAAAAAAAAAAAAAAAAAAAAAAAGGAAGGAGCAGCTCACTCTGCAACAGGCACCTTTACCTGCCCTACACAACCTACATCCCCCACATCGCTTTGGGTGCTCCTGGCCCAGGGGTGCCCTGCTTGGTCCAGGGAAAAAGAAAACCCCCTTCCTCACATAAAAACGGCAGGGAGATGCCCAATACCTTTGTTTTCTTTGCGCTGGGAACTCGCAGCTGAAAGATCCTGGCAGTCACCTCCGACACAGGCAGCGGGATTGCTCAGAGACGGATGAGAAGTCACTGGGGAGTTACAAACAAGTACAATTACTGCCATGCTGAGGTCTCAGCCTGGCATTTGAAATCTCTCCTCCCCCTCTTCAAAACACACTTAATTGGGAGATTAAGTTTAAGAGTCATTTTAAAGCTGATCATTAATCAGGCACACACCAGAATCAGAAACCAGCCCGTTGGTAAGAAACAGGCTGGAAACCCTAAAATATCAGTTAAGCATCCCAGCAGCACCCAGGTAATTCACCAGCTTTGGAGCCCCCCCCGAAAGGGTTTGGGGACCCCCAAAAAGAGACACAGAGGGAAGGGACATGGGAGAGGGGACAGAGGTGACTTCCCATCCTGGGGGGTGGAAGGGGACACTCCAGAAGGGGCTCAGGGCTGTGGAGAGGAATGAGGGGGTTCACACCAACACAGGGTACGGGACTGCGTCAAGGTTCTCCCCTTTCTCATGCTGAGTCCAGGGGGAGTCACCAACCAACCCAGAAAGGGTTAAAAGAGGTGGAATTTAGGTGGGAAGGAAAGCACCCCAAAACAGCCACCTCCACCCCCCAGCTCCAAGCTGAACCCCCATTTCCAGGCCCAGCAAGGGCTGATCAGGCCTAAGGCTGGGCAGCACTGGCGGGGATCCTGACACCCCCAAAACCAGGAGCCATCCCCACAACTCAGAGAGGCTGAGGTGGACAGGGACACCCCCCCCAAACCCTAAGGGGACCCCAGTTTTGACAGGGGAAGCTCTGAACAGCCCTGAGAGCCCCCAGCTGAGGGGAGACACTGGGTGTCGGGAGGAGGGGGGGGTATGTCTCACATGGGACCCCCACAAACATACATACAACCCCCAAACCAGGATGGGGAACACACAAGGCCCAAAGCGGGAGACACACAGAGACTGGGGGGCTCAGTACCCCCGCGGGACCCCCCAACCTCGAGGGGGGCTCAGCACACCCCCAAACCCCCCACGGGACCCTCCAAGCGGCAAGAAAAAGGCAGAGGATGACCCAGGGGGTGCACCGGCGTCCCCCCGAAATCCGTGTCCCCCCCTCTGCGGGGTCACCGAGGGCCCCCCCACAGCAACAGCCTCCCACCACCCACCCGGGGCCG